ACAGGGAGACAGACTTAGTGGATGGGGGACAGGGAGACAGACTTAGTGGATGGGGGACAGGGAGACAGACTTAGTGGATGGGGGACAGGGAGACAGACTTAGTGGATGGGGGACAGGGAGACAGACTTAGTGGATGGGGGACAGGGAGACAGACTTAGTGGATGGGGGACAGGGAGACAGACTTAGTGGATGGGGGACAGGGATACAGACTTAGTGGATGGGGGACAGGGAGACAGACTTAGTGGATGGGGGACAGGGAGACAGACTTAGTGGATGGGGGACAGGGAGACAGACTTAGTGGATGGGGGGGGACAGGGAGACAGACTTAGTGGATGGGGGACAGGGAGACAGACTTAGTGGATGGGGGACAGGGAGACGGACTTAGTGGATGGGGGACAGGGAGACAGACTTAGTGGATGGGGGCCAGGGAGACAGACTTAGTGGATGGGGGGGGGACAGGGAGACAGACCTAGTGGATGGGGGACAGGGAGACAGACTTAGTGGATGGGGGACAGGGAGACAGACTTAGTGGATGGGGGACAGGGAGACAGACTTAGTGGATGGGGGACAGGGAGACAGACTTAGTGGATGGGGGGGACAGGGAGACAGACTTAGTGGATGGGGGACAGGGAGACGGACTTAGTGGATGGGGGACAGGGAGACAGACTTAGTGGATGGGGGACAGGGAGACAGACTTAGTGGATGGGGGACAGGGAGACAGACTTAGTGGATGGGGGGGGACAGGGAGACAGACTTAGTGGATGGGGGGGGACAGGGAGACAGACTTAGTGGGTGGGGGACAGGGAGACAGACTTAGTGGATGGGGGACAGGGAGACGGACTTAGTGGATGGGGGACAGGGAGACGGACTTAGTGGATGGGGGACAGGGAGACAGACTTAGTGGATGGGGGACAGGGAGACAGACTTAGTGGATGGGGGACAGGGAGACAGACTTAGTGGATGGGGGACAGGGAGACAGACTTAGTGGATGGGGGACAGGGAGACAGACTTAGTGGATGGGGGACAGGGAGACAGACTTAGTGGATGGGGGACAGGGAGACAGACTTAGTGGATGGGGGACAGGGAGACAGACTTAGTGGATGGGGGACAGGGAGACAGACTTAGTGGATGGGGGGGGACAGGGAGACAGACTTAGTGGATGGGGGACAGGGAGACAGACTTAGTGGATGGGGGACAGGGAGACGGACTTAGTGGATGGGGGACAGGGAGACAGACTTAGTGGATGGGGGACAGGGAGACAGACTTAGTGGATGGGGGGGGACAGGGAGACAGACCTAGTGGATGGGGGACAGGGAGACAGACTTAGTGGATGGGGGGGGACAGGGAGACAGACTTAGTGGATGGGGGACAGGGAGACAGACTTAGTGGATGGGGGACAGGGAGACAGACTTAGTGGATGGGGGGACAGGGAGACAGACTTAGTGGATGGGGGACAGGGAGACGGACTTAGTGGATGGGGACAGGGAGACAGACTTAGTGGATGGGGACAGGGAGACAGACTTAGTGGATGGGGGGGGACAGGGAGACAGACTTAGTGGATGGGGGACAGGGAGACAGACTTAGTGGATGGGGGGGACAGGGAGACAGACTTAGTGGATGGGGGACAGGGAGACAGACTTAGTGGATGGGGGACAGGGAGACAGACTTAGTGGATGGGGGACAGGGAGACAGGACTTAGTGGATGGGGGACAGGGAGACAGACTTAGTGGATGGGGGGGACAGGGAGACAGACTTAGTGGATGGGGGGGACAGGGAGACAGACTTAGTGGATGGGGGACAGGGAGACAGACTTAGTGGATGGTGGGGGACAGGGAGACAGACTTAGTGGATGGCGGACAGGGAGACAGACTTAGTGGATGGGGGACAGGGAGACAGACTTAGTGGATGGGGGACAGGGAGACGGACTTAGTGGATGGGGGACAGGGAGACAGACTTAGTGGATGGGGGACAGGGAGACAGACTTAGTGGATGGGGGACAGGGAGACAGACTTAGTGGATGGGGGACAGGGAGACAGACTTAGTGGATGGGGGACAGGGAGACAGACTTAGTGGATGGGGGACAGGGAGACAGACTTAGTGGATGGGGGACAGGGAGACAGACTTAGTGGATGGGGGGGACAGGGAGACAGACTTAGTGGGGGGGGGGGGACAGGGAGACAGACTTAGTGGATGGGGGACAGGGAGACAGACTTAGTGGATGGGGGACAGGGAGACAGACTTAGTGGATGGGGGACAGGGAGACAGACTTAGTGGATGGGGGACAGGGAGACAGACTTAGTGGATGGGGGGGGGACAGGGAGACAGACTTAGTGGATGGGGGACAGGGAGACAGACTTAGTGGATGGGGGACAGGGAGACAGACTTAGTGGATGGGGGACAGGGAGACAGACTTAGTGGATGGGGGACAGGGAGACAGACTTAGTGGATGGGGGGACAGGGAGACAGACTTAGTGGATGGGGGACAGGGAGACAGGACTTAGTGGATGGGGGACAGGGAGACAGACTTAGTGGATGGGGACAGGGAGACAGGACTTAGTGGATGGGGGGGACAGGGAGACAGACTTAGTGGATGGGGGACAGGGAGACAGACTTAGTGGATGGGGGACAGGGAGACAGACTTAGTGGATGGGGGGACAGGGAGACAGACTTAGTGGATGGGGGACAGGGAGACAGACTTAGTGGATGGGGGACAGGGAGACAGACTTAGTGGATGGGGGACAGGGAGACGGACTTAGTGGATGGGGACAGGGAGACAGACTTAGTGGATGGGGGACAGGGAGACAGACTTAGTGGATGGGGGGGACAGGGAGACAGACTTAGTGGGGGGGGGGGGGGACAGGGAGACAGACTTAGTGGATGGGGGACAGGGAGACAGACTTAGTGGATGGGGGACAGGGAGACGGACTTAGTGGATGGGGGACAGGGAGACAGACTTAGTGGATGGGGGACAGGGAGACAGACTTAGTGGTGGGGGGGGGGACAGGGAGACAGACTTAGTGGATGGGGGACAGGGAGACAGACTTAGTGGATGGGGGACAGGGAGACAGACTTAGTGGATGGGGGACAGGGAGACAGACTTAGTGGATGGGGGACAGGGAGACAGACTTAGTGGATGGGGGACAGGGAGACAGACTTAATGGATGGGGGACAGGGAGACAGACTTAGTGGATGGGGGACAGGGAGACAGACTTAGTGGATGGGGGGCAGGGAGACAGAATTAGTGGATGGGGGGGACAGGGAGACAGACTTAGTGGGGGGGGGGGGACAGGGAGACAGACTTAGTGGATGGGGGACAGGGAGACAGACTTAGTGGATGGGGGACGGGGAGACAGACTTAGTGGATGGGGGACAGGGAGACAGACTTAGTGGATGGGGGACAGGGAGACAGACTTAGTGGATGGGGGACAGGGAGACAGACTTAGTGGATGGGGGACAGGGAGACAGACTTAGTGGATGGGGGACAGGGAGACAGACTTAGTGGGTGGGGGACAGGGAGACAGACTTAGTGGATGGGGGACAGGGAGACAGACTTAGTGGATTGGGGGACAGGGAGAGACAGACTTAGTGGATGGGGGACAGGGAGACAAGATTAGTGGATGGGGGACAGGGAGACAGACTTAGTGGATGGGGGGGGGACAGGGAGACAGACTTAGTAGGGCGGGGGGGGGGGGGCAGGGAGACAGACTTAGTGGATGGGGGACAGGGGGACAGGGAGACAGACTTAGTGGATGGGAGACAGGGAGACGGACTTAGTGGATGGGGGGGGGACAGGGAGACAGACTTAGGGGGGGGGGGGGGGACAGGGAGACAGACTTAGTGGGTGGGGCGGGAGCAGGGAGAACAGACTTAGTTGGATGGGGGACAGGGAGACAGACTTAGTGATGGGGACAGGGAGACAGACTTAGTGGATGGTGGGGGGGGGGGGGGGACAGGGAGACGGACTTAGTGGAGGGGGGGGCAGGGAGACAGATCTTAGTGGATGGGGGACAGGGGGACAGGGAGACAGACTTAGTGGGTGGGGGGACAGGGAGACAGACTTAGTGGATGGGGGAGGGGGTGCTGCAGGTTGCATTAATGCCGCACGATAAGGAGCACACGACGTAAATTCCCCTATTGGCGGTCTTCGATAAACAGGAAAATAACAAAAACACCGCCCATCGCACCTGCTCTGCTCGGCAGCACGTCTCCCTGCTGCTGCTGCGAGCTGGTGTGAGAATCTGCTATGGGGGGGTTACGTTGTGTGTGGCCACTCTCACTGCCTGTATAGCACCGATCTCCCCCCGAGTCCCTCCACTCTGCGTGGGTGCCGCTTTATAAATGCCGGCCCTGTTTGTACATTTCGTTTCTGTGCCTCCATTAGGGACTAATTTGGCCATCACCAGACCTTCATGTGGGGTCTGTTTAAAACTCTATCTGACTGTGATGACTGTGAAAGCAAGACATAGGGGTTGTGTAATGTCATGGAGGCTGTCTGTTACACAATTGTACGTCGCTTGGGCCAATAGGTTTGAACAAGCAACAGATGAGAGTAAATGGGTCTTACTCACAAGGGGCGTAGATGGAGCAGATTGTGTCAAAGCATTGGAAAGCCATCTACAGTGTGAAACAATTTAGATAACTGGTATTAACTCATCGAGTAATATCAGGTTATTAAAAATACACATTTGTAATCAATACAACGAATGTAACTTTAAGTATAAACAGCTGTCACCAAGTGTAGAGCCCGCATGGCCTAATCAACGTCACCGTCGTCAGGCGAATCACTGCGGTAACAAACGGACACCCGCCTGCCCTCGCACAACACAATGTTTGTGTTCGTACGCCGAACTTCTTTCGCACCGTACGTAGCCAACCGCGCTGATCGGAGCGTGCGACGTCGCACGGAGAGACGGACACCGCGTTTTGTCGTTTTCGTGTGAACCCCGTCGCTCACACTTGCGTTTGCTGAACCCCGACCCCCGCCGCCGACCTCTGCCCAGCCGACGCGATGTCGTCGACGTCGTCGGAGAGCTCCGTCTACTCCCCCGCCGAGATCGCCGAGATCGCCGCGCGGGCCAATGAGCTGGACCTCTCCCGCAAGGCCCTGCACACGGAGACGGACTCCAACAAGGATCACCGAGGTACGGTTGCCACCCGTCCTGGTCTTCCCGGGACGTCGTCTTGTGGAAATTTAAAAGTGTCGATTGCTGTCAGTTGCATAATAATTATAATAGTCATAATAATATGCCACTTTTTTTTGTTTTGCCACGCTCTGACCTGCTCCTATTGGATATCTGTGAAAAAAGATCTTCATAGCTCATCGGATTCCTCGAGTGGAAATATATATATTCTGATTCTGAAATATATTCCGATGACAATCCACTTAGATGGTAGTTCTCCCGTCCCATGGTTTTTGTGGGATACCCTTCTTCCCGTGACACGTTTCCGGGCCTTTTGTTCCTCAGAGATGGCGACTGAAAATGACGGGGAGGATGCCCACCCAAGCGGCGGCAATGACATCGTCGAGAATGGAACCGACAACGGCAGCAGTGATGCCACCACTCACCTCATCGAGCAAGGTCCGTCCGCGAGGAGTAACCCCCAACTGACTTTGTCCAATCCATGTGCCGCTCTTTAAAGGTGCCAGGTTAGCCTTGGGATGCGGCTCAGTTCAAAATGCGTTTGGATCAGCCAAATGAACACCACGCAATGGGACGTATATCGGCCCCAAGGGGCCCTTTGGCATCGTGCATTGAATCGTGTGCCCTGATCACAGTGGCATTTGTGTGCTTGGCACGGGTCCTGGTGCGAAATATAAAATGGGGCCTCTTCTCGTCTAAATGTTTCACCTCTTCGTAACCTGGCATCTCGGCCCCTCTGACCTGTGAGTTCCTGGCAAATTGCACTGCCTGTACACTCGCTAGCTACACCACATCCTGCTTCTTTAGTGTCAAGCTGTGGCGTAGCTACCGATTATGACTGTGAACTCCGGTCATTCTCCCAGCGGCTTTTGCAAAGACTGCATCACGCACTTTAAGATGTCTGGAACGCTCTTCCTTCCGATATTAGGAAGCCACTGGAGCTATGCACTTTTAAATAATCTAGGTTGAACACTCAATTCTTTAGAACTGCTTTTTGTGTTTAGTTTGTTGTCCTTCCCCCGCACCTCCGATTAACACGGTTGGCTGCATACAGTGTGAGAGAAGTTCAACACACATGCATACATATTACGAAGTGTCTTAAATGCACGTCCTTATTTGTTGTACCGTGTCTTGCGATGCAATTGCATTTGGATGCTACGTGAGTCCATTTACACTTTGTCTTGTATTGACCATTCTGCTGTCTTATGAAGGTGCAGGCTAAATGCACAATAGCACACTTTGGACACCATCCGGTCTATTTCAATTAAAATGGAGAGCACTGCACATTCACGTACCATTGAGTGCTGTCCAATTGCCTTATCCAAATTAAGTTAGTTGCACTCTTAGACTGCCCCGGTCCTTGTTACTGTAATCAATCGAATAGCGATATACAATGCATACCTTCCCTCTGCCCCAGGCCTTGCTGACTTATCTACTAACATTGCTTTCACCAAGTCCAAACTATAGCGCAAAACATTATCCCGCCGCCCCCCCCCCCCCCCCCCCCCCCCCCCCCCCCCCCCCCCCCCCGTTGACATATCACGTAAGCTAATCGTACAATCGTACTTAAAACATGTGGAAAATCTAATGAAATGCTGACTTTTGAAGATAAGCCTGGTTAGTACTCAGATGGAAAACCCTTTGGGAATACCAGGTGAGTTAGGTTGTGCAAGCTGGCCAGAAGATGGCAGTGTAGCAATGGATTCTTGAATCTAGCTACGCATAGTTTTTTTTTAGTTTTACCCCATTGTAGGCATTGGTATTCTCCAGATACCTCAGTTTCCTGCCAGATGCCAAACCTATTCACGGAATTTGCCATACATCCCAATCTATGTAGGCATGTTGAACTTCTACCGCACCGCACGTAGCCAACCGTGCGAAGGGGGGACCCTCCTGATGAAAAAAAAGAGACTTGGAGGTTCACTGAGGCTTTGCTGGGTAAATAAAGGACATGAAGATCCATACTTCACTGGCATACACAGCAGAGGTGACGCATTCAAATCGAAGTTAAAAAAAAAGAGACAGCTCCTTTGCACTGCAAATTCCCCAGCGAATCGGCCATTATGTTTTCTCACTCACCGGCACGACTACTGTGCTTGCCGTGACATCTCTTTACGTTTATTTTTTTTATTTTTCTTGTACTGCCGTTCCCGTAAATGTTGGCGCATTGCACGGCTTCTCTATGGGGTCATGCGAGCCACGGCGAAGCTTAATGGGCTTTAAGCACAAAGACGCTCCCGGTTCGTTGAGCCTGGGCAATTTCGAGCAAGACTCCCCGCCGCACGGTTTGCCGGGAGCCATTGTCAGTGAGATGTTTGTAAGAGAGGGATTAATTGACTGGTGTGTTGTATAAAACGCCTTCTTGAAAAGAGTGATAACTTCGGATTTTTTTGCCGACGGATGCCCCACAAGAGGTTTTTTTTTTAAGGCCCTTTCACGGGAGTGTTGGCATTGCATTGGAAAAGTTCGATAGAGTCTTTGGAGGTATTCTTGTGCATGTGGCAGGAAACTGTAATGCCTGGAGAAACCCCCCCCCCCCCCATGCTAAAGACAGAAGAGCACTCAAACTCCATATGCATAGTCTATCAAGACTCTGTTGCTGGTGAATGTCACCACAGATTGTAGACCGAGACTAACCACTTACCCTCTCACTGTTGAGCTGCTAGACCGAAGCTGGAGGGCATTTGCTTGAACACGGTTGCCGTTTGCTTCACAGTGTGCAACCATTTTCTAGATTCAGACAAAACAAAAATTTGAACCTATGTTTCAATGCTGAATTTATGAGGGGCATTTGGAGGCCACAATCGGTGGAGCAGCTGTGACGGCGCACGCGAGAGGGCATATTTGCCGCGCCACGCTTGTGGGAATTCACCGAGCCCCCGAAAGAACGCGTCGTGACAGCTCCTTCGTGTACGCACCCCTTTACCGGCCGCTGAAAGATGGCCAGTCGCAACTGGCTGCCTGCAACTCGGTCGCCCTAGCCGTCATCGCAAAACTGCAAGAAAACCGACTGCAGGAGAAATGGGGGGGGGGGGGGTGGTAGGTCAAGCGGCGTGAATTTCATTCCACCCCTGCCCCCGCCCCCCAACTCGCCGTGCAGCAGGTCCTTCCATGGTGCCACCTGCTTTGGGGAGCTGCGGAAACCCATGGGAGAGCTCCCCCCTGGCTGAGTGACGAATAGGCAAAGTCGGTCATTACTGTAGCAATGGCCTTCCCTCCCTGAGCTCGCGATTGATGCTGCGAAGTCACTCCGCCAACAGATGGGTTTTCGATGACGGAGCTCTCTGTCAAATGAGCCATTTTGGATGCGGCTTCGCTCAGTGTCCCCGTCTCCTCCACGCGGTGGCAACCTCGCTCGTAATGGGAAGATCCTAATGGCAGAGAGCTGACGAAGATAAAGTGATCCATTATGTCCTGAGCACGGAGGATCAGAAAAACTCAACGCACTCATCGTTAACGCAGTGACGTACCAGAAAAAAAACACAGGGTATTGGCGCTACTGCAGAGCAGAGAGATGGTTCATTGCTCTGAAGAAAGGCCAATGCTTCAACATCAGCCTACAATATACATTTTATGTTACAAGGCAGTGTTTATGATTAATGCAGTGAGTATTTACGATTTGCGATTTGCGCGCCACTCCCATTGTAAACCATTATTCGCAGGCAGTCTCACATCCAAGTACTAACCAGGATTAACCCTAATTAGCTTCCGAGACTTGGTGAGTTTGGGTACAGTCAAGGTCATTTGGTCACAGACAAAAGCACTCTATGGCCCACTTTTGTACTTTCAGGTTTTAATGCGTTTAATATCCACTAGCACAGAAGGGGATGCTTTGATAATGCGCCATAATGTTACTGAGCTCTAAATAGTGAAACTGCTAACATGCCCATTGGCAAGCGCGCTGACCTCTCAGCTGCCCGGATCTGCTCAAAATACTGCAAATGCTTTTCTTCTTGTCTGTAGATTCTGAAGTTGATGGAGCGGTCGTTCATCCATAAGTCTTCCCACAGATGTACAGGGCACACACCATGCAGGTAACCAACTGAGCACAGCCACCACAATCTCTGCTCGCGCGCACGCGCACACACACAGAGAGATATCCCACCGCGTTGCTGGCCCATTAGGAGTCACAATGAAATGTTTGCAGGGAAGCCACACACCTGTTTTGGGCTGGTGGGAATGTTTAGTAATGACATGCAGCTCTTTCATGACTCATTTACAAAGGTGGGACCATTCTTTCCCAAAGGCTACTATATTTCAGACCCTACTGGACTGAACAAACATGCGTCATGTTTGGAAAATGCAAAGCCCAAACTCAAAATATTTAACAACCGACCATTGCTGACATTTTTTGTTGTTGCCAGTTCATGAGTCGTTTACACTGCACGGTTCATTGGCAGAGGTCATGGCCCGAGCTTAGAGAAAGGTTTACAGTGAACCCTGATAAACTTCGGTTTGACACTCGCCTGTGAGTGGTGTTTAAAAAAGAACGGTTAAAAAAAAGCATGCTTATTGTGCACTCTATGGGGCGTTCTGAGCATGTCAAAAGCAACGACGACGTCTCCGAGTGAGAGACGCAGAGTGGTGGATGGGTCCGGAGGTGGGGCACACACGGAACGAGGGTCCATCAGGCCATTTCGCCGATGCGTACAAAAAAACACTTTCCGAAATTCCCGCAATGAGTCCAGCCTCCCCGCGTCTTGAGCGTTCCCCAGTCCCGTGCACGTTAAACAGTGGCAAGGGCTTACGTCTGCTCACAGCTAGACTTGCGAATTAGAGGGTTCCTGTTTAGAAATATGCTGCAAATCCTTACACAAGAACATACCGTGAGCAAAGTTACAGCGATCAGATTAAGCAGTAGGGATATTTCTTGTTAAAAAATAGAATATTGGTCAAGTCTCTTTTTAAATAAAAATTCAAGTGAGTCAATTACATCGTTGTAAACTAAACTAAAAACGAAACATTTTTAACTAAACAAGTTTCATGTTAAATTTCGATTTAAAGCTTTCGTGACTGCAGGCATTCATCTTCTTGGTTCTTTCGGTAAAGTCACATAGAATGGAAATAAAATAATAAAAATAAAAAAATAAAAAAATAAAATTGCCACGACGTTTCGGACACAACACTAGTAGCCTTCTTCAGGTGAAAGAACAGAACTGTCGGGACCACAATGAAGCGCTGTCGTGCCGACAGTTGTGTTCCTTCACCTGAAGAAGGCTACTTGTGTTGTGGCCGAAACGTCGTGAGAATTTTATTTTATTATGTTTTATTTTTATTATTTTATTTCCATTCTACGTAACTTTACCGAAATAACCAAGAAGATGTTTTATGTTACCAGGTAAGTCCCACTGAGCTATAAAACTCTTTTTCAGAAGACACCTGCCCACAAATGATAGCTCAACGATGTGGCTTATGGTGTGGCAATTTATAGCAGCCAAATACTCTTAGACGCATGTTTCTAATTGTGGAGGGAAAAACCGGAGGACCCGGAGAAAAATCGACGTGACCGCGGGGAGAGAGAGAGACACGCAAACTCCAAATACACAGCAGGCGTCAGGGTCGGGATCTAACCCACGGCCTCCTGCACAGCAGGCGAGGGAGTTAACATCTCCTAGCCACCGCGGCGAGATGTTAACCTTCTAGATAATAATAATAAATGGTGTTTCCAAAGTAGCTCCTGACCTTTGCATTTTGACAACCAATTTGAGTGTTTACCCAAGCTGAGGCTTAGAGGCCAAACGTCTCTCATGGCTTCCGGCCCTCGCCTCAAATAATCAATTTCCTGCGGCGATCTTTAAAGTTGTGTTTTCAGGGATTATGAGACAAGGGCTCACAACACTCACAAGATTACAACAAAAAAACCCCCACAAAACCTTTCGTATTTCAAGTTTGAAGGTAAATCTAATTATTAAGATATGTGCTGCTTTAAAAGTAATCACATTTTTTGCTACGTCCTACATTAATATTGATATGAATCTAAAAAAAATAAAGCAATTCATCAATTAATTATCAGGGGAAAATGCACATTTATACAGGGTACGGCAAAAGTCACGGATCACTCTCTCTTACAGCAAATTACAGCACATGCTCTATTGCAGTAAATGATAGCGTGTGCTTTAACTCTGTATGACTTGCTTGGACGCACGTCTCAATCCGTGTCACGCGGGCTGCTTTAAGCATTGCTCACGCAACAGGTCCACGTTGATCTTCGCGCACTCAGCTCGTATTTTCAATAACAGCGGCAATATGTGGAGAGCGCCGTTCTGAAATCGCTATGAATCCTGACTTTCGCCACACCCTGTGGATACGCGTATCTTACGTGCATACCAGAGGGACATTTGTGTAGGAATCTGTTTTGATTAGACCCGGCTTCTAAAATAACTATGCCCGCCCATCTAAATTAAGGAGGGTGTGCTCCTGTTGGGAAAAAGCCTGCGCTGTAAAGCGTGTGGGAGCCACCCCCACAGCCCCCAGTGGAATTCCTTACCTGGTGAGTACACCTGTGATCGATGACATCGCCAAGTCTGGCTTGTTCATTAAAGGTACGCATTTGGTCAGGGCGAGCTCTGAAAAGCTGCAACGATGAGCACTTCTGTCTGTTGTTTTAACGTCTCGTCCTCCCCTTTCATCGTTAAAATAACCACTCGCTGCGCTAAAACAAATGGACGCTGCTCTGTGATGGTAACGGGCATGCTGTATCACGAGCTAGAAATGCCAAAGACATGACCGGTGCCTCGGTTGGCTTATTTGTGTCATGATATCGGCAAAAATTAGGGTTGGCATGCCTTTCTTTCTCCTTGCTTTCCCTCTTTCTATTATCCATGTACGTATTAGAAATTGGTCTGGGCTTCTGCTATGTTGACTCAGCCTAATATGAGTAGCCGCTGCGGTGTGTCTACACAATCAGGCGCACGTGGTTCTTGTCACGTGACACGCCAACAGAAGTCATACTGTCAGTGTGTGCAGATAGAAAGCATAAAACTTTGTTCCTGTTTGTATGTAGATATGTACAACATGTAGGCAGTGTAATATATGGATTTGGGGGGGGGGGGGGGGGGGCTCACGATGAATGCGTATAATTGTGTAAATAAGAATAGCCGATTTACACTTCGTGAGAATTATCGGGAAAAATATCAGCACATGGACCTTTAGGCTAATCGAAGAATAAATACAGAATAAGCATAACAGACTAAACAAGACCGACGATCCAAAAGAGTGGACAAATTAGACAAAAAGTTTGCACAAAAGCACGACTCCGGATCGTGACAGTCCATCGCATAACCAGAGTTGGGGGGAGTGGGGACAAGGATCGTCACATGTCTAACAGCATGTGTAGTGACTGCAAAAATCCTGAGCCTGTAGGCTAACAAACCGACCAAAATTCCACCAGTAAATCATGTTTTAACGGCCACAGGTGCTGCGTGCAATGTGTCGTACTCTGCTTATGGAGCACGATCAGTCTGTGGCCCTCTCAGGCATGGGCCAAGCACAGCCTGCTCATCACTTGAACAAACCCTGCTGCTCCATGCCAAATTAGGGGCTTGTTACCGCCTGATTGATGGTGTCATAACATGCACGAAAAAAGCACGCATACTTGTGTGTATGTGTCGCCAGTTAATTTTAGACCGCTATGAAATTCATGAATGCCTGTGCATAGAGATGTGTGTTTCATATCCAGGGGGCTGTCCCTTTGAAGTCACGAATAAGAGTGGAAATGGCACTGCACGCGATGATTTCATAATATAAATGTGTCCCCGTGTATTGGTGCAGTGGTGAGTGCACCGTGCTGTGAGTCCAGCTAGCCGAGTTCCATTCCTGACCGTGGCTAACATCAGTGGTGAGTGATATCTGAACCGGTCCTTTGCCCCCCCTCCTTCACCAATCCATATACACCAGCATGGCGAAGTATGGTCAAGCAACTTCATCACAAAGGGCTGTTTATAATTATTGTTATATTTTATCACATGCACATATAACGATCGCCTAAATTATATTACACTTAATAGATGATAGGTTGGTGGCAGGAACAAATGTATGTCACATTTTTCCAGGTGAATAATGGCAGCTAAACATTGTGTGGTATACCTTCAGCCCTTTGGAAATGCATTGATAGAAGAAGCCCTCCCCACACTGTCGGCCATGGGGGTTGTTTGACCATACTTCACCACGCTGGTCAGTGTGGTATGCAGGACAATTTCGGATATCACTCGTCACTGATGGAGCTAAGGATGGGAATCGAACTCAGGTCGCCATGTCCATAACACAGCGCGCTAACCACTCTGTAAACATGCTATGTATACACTCTATAAATACTATAACATGAACTTCAATTGATGTAGGTGTTATCGATCGGTAATATCCATGAGAGAAGAGAGATTGTGTATATTGTGGAAATTTTAAACACTTGAAGAGACTTGAAAATGCTGACAACTCACGGAAAGCTGATCCAAAAGCTGATCACAGCAGACCAGGGAGTGACCCATGTCCATCAGGTGAACCTTGAGAAGAGTTTTAGAGGGATGCCAGTGTTTCCTGTCGCATATGCGCCCACTGAGAGAATAGGAGTAGAATACAATCAAACAGGTTCGTACTAAAAACTAGGCCGAGCCTGTTAATGTTATTAATATTTGATCAAGTCGAGGTGAATAGTGTCAACATTCAGAGGTGCCTCCAATTCAACCAAGAGTAATGGTCATCCGAATATATCCCAGTAGCTCAGGAAGACAGGGAGTGAGTGAGAGAGAGAGAGATTTAGTATTTTCCTTACACAGGCTGGACTTCCCTTTTGAAGTGGCAGCTGTGTCATAAAGTGTGGGCTCAGTGAAAGCTTCGACAGGGCGAGGCATGGCCGTGAGACATCGGTTGTACTCACAATTCATCCACTGCTGTATTTAGATGTTGAGGGAGGGGGGGGGGGGTAGGTTTGGGGGGATGGGAGCTTTGGGGGCTGGCAGATCTTGTAAATCACGGGTGGTCAGCTCCTAAACATGGTTTTGTGCTTCAGGCGATCCATATAATGCCGTGGGACAGTGGC